GCTGGAAAAAACACTTAGCATGATGTGCTGTTGTAAAGTTAACTGTCACATTGCTCAGTTCTAAAGGGGAATTCATATCTCCATCCACTGGACCTGCCCCACATACTTTTGGCAGTCTCAGTTCCCCAAGGCAGGTCTCATCGCTGGAGAAATGATGGGAAGATTTACTTTTCCTCGATCAACTGACAGTACTGCACAAAGTCTAACTAGCACTTGCAATATATTATAGCATCATATGCTGCAAAATAGAAATAAAATACCTGAAAAGTCTGCTGCCAACAGGTCCACTGCCTTTAAAACTTTGACTTGCAAGAAGCCAATGTCTTTTAAGTCCCGAAAGGAATTCTTTATACACTGCAAGGAGGAAACAAAGATGTATTTTGCTTGTTAATTCAGTAAGAAACAGAAACTATTGAACTATTAAGTAACTTATCATAGAATCAGTTCAGTTGGAAAAAATACCTCATCATCAAGTTCAACCATTAGCCCAGAGCTGCCAAGCCCATCACTAAACCACATCCCTAAGCACTACATCTACACATCTTTTAAATATTTCCAGCATTGATGAATCAACCACTTCCCTGGGCAGCCTGTTCCAAAGCTTGGCAACCTTTTTGTTGAAGAAGTGTTTCCAAATATTCAATCTACACCTCCTCTGGCACAACTTGAGATACACTTAGTCCTTCTTGCCCAGCTTTTGAGGATGTGGAAGCCATCATAGAGTTTTGTCTTCCAAGAGTTTAAAGTCCCAAACATAACCTCCTCAAAGGAGGAAATAAAGCTAAGATTGTGATCCCTCCATGATCTTCAGTGTCTCATTCCCCATGATAATCTCTTAATACAATTCAAATTTGGAAAGAACAGTATTAGTTTAAAGTTCAACAAATACAAACAGCCAAATTGCTTGGGTCTATCTGCCCTGCCAATCTCCTTGTCATTCTAAATGTAATAACTATTCCATGTAACAGTTTCCTTTGGTAGGAGACATGTTATTATGACTGGACAATTAATTTTTTCTTCCTGAAATTTTGACTACTTTCAAAACTAGAGGAGAAAAAAAAAGAAGAAACACAAACTCACATAGCGCTGAGAAATCTGTTGCCGTTCGCTGGGATCTCCCAAAGGACAGACACACAGATCAGAAATAGACACTCCTGTACATGGGGCAACAGCAATCAGCATTAGCAGTGACCCCGGATGTTTTTCCAGAGGTAGCTCTAAGCAATTGGTCTGCTTTGTTGGCAGGGCAGTAACGTCAACTTGGCACCTAGAACAACATTGTCAAGGGTTAATAAGAAAAAGAAGCTGGTAGAAAGAAAAATAATAAATCAACATTTATATTGATTTCAGTAGCAAGCAGGCACCAAAACTTATTGCTTGTTCAGGATGGAAAGAATGCAAAAAAACCCACCCATCTCAATATTAAACATGAGAAACCAATTAGGCAGTTTCTATTGCACTTACTGTCAAGTTTTGGTTTCTGGTCCGTCTACTGGTAAGGAGAGGTAAAATGTTTGGGCTGCAAGTACAGGAGGAAAACTTAATTCTGGCCTGCCTCACTTCCCCTCTAAAATCCCCCAGTGTTTTGTGATGGATTTGAAACACAATTTTATTTCACTTGGGGGAAAAGAAAAGGGGCAAATGCAAAATTTAAAACATTAGCCTAAAATAGATTAGTTTCTTTAAACTCACATACTCCATTTTATGCTACATTATACTGTATGCCCCAATCTCTTTTACAAGCCTTACTAGAGCTACATTTTCAGTGTACTGTTCTATTTCCCAAAGGGAAGGACTGTCTTAAAAGTTCCCCACCCACTCCGAGCACATAATATGTATCATTAACCTGATGCTTCCCCAAAAAATAAAAACAAGGAGGATAAAGGAAAAACACTCATAAAGAGACAATAATAAAAGATGAGTATGGACTAAAGCAGAGACATCACTAGGCAGCCAGTTATACACGAAAGGAGCGGTTAAACGCAACAAAAAGCCTAATCACTTGGCTCGGCTAAATGCCTTCTATTTAGAAGTCCAGTAAATGGAGTGGAACTTTTTCGAACCTCTGTGGGGCTTGGCTTTTAAGAACAGGCTGAACAAAAGTTACAGATGAAAAAGGAAAAAGCCAAAAATAGCGAAGGAGAAGGTTTGGTGGCACACTGCAAGAGAAGTCGCATTTCTCAAAGGGACAGTGAGCGGATGATGGAGAGCAAGAGCTTTTGCTCGGCTTAATGCCTGCCGACAAGTTTTTATTTAAACTAAACTTGTTAAGGTGTTGTCTTAATAGGCTAAAATTCCACAGGGTTCCCCCAGGTGGGTTTCTTCTGGGTAAATGGTGCATGTAGTGTTCCTGATTGATCCCATTCCAGTAGTAGAGCTGGAGCAGTTTATACCCATCTGCTATAAATTGCATGCTTTCCTCTTCTTAACAGCCTATTATCTGTGAATGCTAAAGGGGGTAAAAAAAAAGAAGAAAAAAAGAAAAAACAATCTCAAAACATTTCAGCCTGGAAACACAAGAAACTGTGTTATGAAGTAAAAGCCATTGCTCTGATGAGTTCTTAAGTTATCCAGTAGCTCCATCTATTAAAGTACACCTCTTTAAGCTTCCTCTGACCACAATCAATGGGAATGACTTTGCCTTAAGTGTGCTCTTTGCTACACGCTGCACTGCATGTACAACAGGTTGTATGTTTACTCTTATTAACTGCTTTCAAGTGCTTTGAAAGAGAAAGAAAATAAACCAGGCAGAGTACCAAGACGGCTGGGAGCGTAGGCTGCCTCTCAACACCATTTCCAAGTGTGAGAGGTTGCATTTAAAGCTCATTGCTACGCCTAGACTCTTCAGAAAGATATGACAAGAGAAGTTACAGCAGAAAGGAAAACAAAACAACAACAGAGAATGAGAGAAAAAGACCTTATTTCTTTCTGAGAAAAAGACCTTATCACTTCCATACTGGAGGTCAACATCACCTTGGCTGCATTAACACCATTGCGTCTCCGACTGCAGCAGTTTTACTGATACTTTAGGTATCAGCACAAAAGGGGGAATGTATCCTTATCTTGGAGTTTACTTTTATTCTTTTTTACAGATGAAGAAACTGGAGGAAGGGGAGAGGAAATCTCAAGGTCACCCAGCTGGTTTGTGGTTCAGCTGGCAACAGAGGCCATGTCTCCCACGTCAGCATTTCATACACCACCCACTCAACACAGTGCACAACTGGAAAAAGCTGCAATTTTTTGTCATGTTGAAAACTTTCCATGGGGTAAGAGAAAAAAGACGACTTGTACAGACAAAGGTGCCTCTCCCACCAATAGATAACCTTAGAAATCTCTCATATCTCAAAGATAAATATAATGCTAGCTTGTTTTGGCAAACTGAAATTGCTTCCCTTATTAAAAGAATTTGATTAGCCAAAGGTCAAAGAAAAGATGGAGTATAAAGGCATGGGGGTAGGAGAGATGCATGTGTGGAGGGGAAAACAGCAGGAGATGGAGTATAAGCACTTCTTCCTCAAATCATGTCTGATTTCTGTGCAAACTAACTTCCTTAAAACATCTGTGTTCACTCAAGGTGAGGGTATGCCTCTGTATTTTCTTGTGAGGAACTGAAGAAAATCCACATTTGCACTTGCAAATGGCAAAAGGCTTAAGGAAAAGAAAAAGACAATGTGCTTCATTTAGGTTATACAACATAATTGATCAGACTGCAAAGAACGCAGCTTGGTAAAACAATTAGACATTCAATTTACTATATAAATTCAGCAGTTTCCACACAAATGCTTCTACACTATTAAAACGCATCTAATGATTTCCAAACTGCTTCCCTCATCCTGTTGAAACAGAAACTCTTCCTTTCCTTCTTTCTCAGCTTTCTATCTGCGAGACCTTATTACAGATAATTATTTCACAGGAAAGTGGTAAGAGACTATTATGATGGGCACAGAATAAAACTAATGGAGGCAATCCACTTCTTGCTTAAAAGTTGCCTGATCTGAATTCAAAGAGCAAAACTCTCTGATTATTTGTATTTTAGGTGGTGCAAACAATCTCCTGAGTTAAACTCTCAACACAGTAATCCTATCTCAGAATAGAATAGCTCTGCTTGTTTTGCTACATTACATATTCAATTCAGATATCACCTTCCACACACATGGCTACATGTATGATCTATAGGGGATGCAGTTCTGTAAGTTAAGAGTGAATTGTGCACACAAATGTGTCCCCCTTTTTTTTAAACACAAATAATTAAATCCTTTCCTTCCTCCTCCTGATCAATATTGAGGTCTACACCTCTATATCAACCTCTAGTCCTGTAGAGGATTAGACCACAGCTTTAGTTTTCATTGAAGACTGTTCTTTTGACACACTCCTCATCTTTAGCTGCTTTTTTTTTCTCTTTTTATTCATTTTGCAGAGAAATGTTACTTGAGAACACTATATAGTAAATTTGGGATAACTGTAATTTTTTTAGCTTTATCAGGGAATCAGATTTTAAAATTTCACTAAAACTGCTAAGCTTAGCCTCTTACTAGTCATGGAGTTGTATTTCACTACCCCATCCACAGTCCATCGAATTATGACAAGTATCCTTAAATATACATTAAAAAGTATGAAAAATATCTGCACAAAAGATTTCCATTTTCCCCCTGCAGAATTCTTGAAATCCCTTCACAAAAGAGGATAGAATCATTATCACAGTATACAGTAAGACGCATCTATGATTAATATTTGAAAAGGAATTTCAAATGCCACAAGTGTCAGGGAGACGACTAATAAGGTTTTATTCTGACTTATTTTACAGATAAATTTTTGTGGCCTGATTCATCCTGCAGCCTCGTGAAATTTAAATGAAAGTTTTGATTGCAGTGGTAGTAGATTTTACTGCACCATCCCAACAGTGTAGCCTTTAAAAACAAGGCTTGTTTCTTGCTGCAAAGACAGCTTCCTGGAGGCATTCATCATAAATATATTGGATGCACTCCAATCTCAGAGCTCATGGTCTTAAGTCTAGCCATTTTTGTCAAATCTCTTTCTTCAGGTAAATACTTGAAGGAAAACCCTTCAACATTCTGCAGCATCTCTTTCTCAAAACATATTCCTTAATGCAGAAAGACTCTCTAACAACCTGACATAAACAATTTACCTCTGGCTGGACAAATTCTGCATGAGTTAACACCTTTGTTTATTAATACACATTAACATCGTCTCCTGTTTATAGCTTGCCTCTTATCTCAAAGGACATGAAAAGCACTCAATAAACGTTGCTAACAGTCCTGTACAGACTAAATAGAGGGATTATTCCATTCAGCAGCAAAACTGAGCCACCCCTCAGTGCTGGACTCTGAAACACTCCTGCAGCTGAAACACTCAAGGCTGCAGGATTCTAAGCAAGGAAGAGAAATTGGACCCAGTTGGAGATCTAAGGAGACCACAGGTATGGAATGCAATAATTTAGCTTGTGATGTGCACTGACAGTGAGGGTTTGGTTTGTGATACAAGGGTGACATGAAATGTTTCCTCACTAATTCAGCAGCAGACAAACACCCCAGGTGTTAGTGTTTAGCACTGGAGGGCCAAAGCATTTCTTATTCTATACGTTCCATAGTCTCCACAGACACTTCAGGTTCTGTTTCAAGAACAATATTTTACCGTGAATCTAAATTATGCCTGGGAGAAGAGCCATGTTCCAGGGGCTTAAGGCATCCATCCTATGTGAAATCCTGGGTCTAAGGGAATTAACGAGAGTCTTTATGCCACAAAAGTTCTGCAATGTGGGTTATCAGACATGACTACACTTTGAGCATCTCCAACTTGATTCAAATGTTAAAAATATACATATATTTAAAGGTCTAAGCAGCACAGTTCTAGGTTGAGCAGGCTGAAGGGGAACATAATGAATCCTAACTCTATTCACAACTTGACCACAGAATTAGTAATTCAGATCCAGAAAATTCTGTCTTTTCCTTAAAACCATGCAAATTATTTGAGGACAGTTGGCTGTGCTGCTATGTATAATGACCAAATATAACCCACAAACATTTTGCTAAAGAATCTTTCTTACAATGATGTTGTGAAATCCAGAAATCTCAAAAGTCAACTTGGAAATCATGGAGACAATAAACATGGCACCTCATAATGCTGCTTTTTCCAACAGAATCCTTTTCCAGATTAGACTGTATTTGAACCCTTCATAAAATATTATTTATTGGGTGTCAAATGTTTCTGTACTGGAAAAGCAAGACTTGCCATTATGTGTTTACCTACTCTTGCATTGGCACTTTAAATGTATATATATTTTTTCCTGTTTTGATGCTAGAGCCAATTTGCTATGTTGTTTCCACATAGACAGCAAAAATAATTTTAGTCATAGAAACATTTGTGTTGGAAGGGACTTTAAAGATCATCTTGTTCCAACCTTCCTGCCAGAAGCAGGGACACCTTCCACTAGACCAAGTTGCTCAGGGCCCCATCTGACCTGGTCTCAAACATTTCCAAGGATCTACCCTGGAAGATTTACTTTTACTTTAAGGTAAATCTCCCACACACACTCTTCACCTAGGCTCAATACAATACGTATTTTGTTGATAGTTTTTGCCACACTAAACACCACCTGTCAGAAATCAATACAGGGAAAAAAGGGGGGAAAAACCTAAAGAAGAATTGCTCCAGTATCAGGGAGACAGATCAGAGGCAAATTGCAAATACTGCTTTGTTTCTTAACCCTAAACAGAATATCAGAAGTAATAGAAGTAACTGTGAGAATGGAAGGAACAGATTCATCTTCAGCCACTTCATGCGATGAGCAACAGCACTCTGCCAGAAAGCATTTCCTGCTCTGCAAAACCACAAACATTTGCAGAGCCAAAGGGCATTGTTCTTCTCAGTGAATAGTTTCAAACTATTTGAATGCTTAAAGTAAGAGAATGCTCTTATGAGTTACTGATACTTAGTCAGCAAGATGTGAAACCCTGGCCAGGTGAGAACAGCAAACAAACTGCAGGCAGGAACATAGCCCCCAAGAACTGAGAAGCTGTGGCACTGATCCTGCAAGAGATAAGCATGGGCAGACCAAAGAGGGTCTCCAGCAAAGTAAATGGTTCTTGGTGCTGCTGTATGTACCCAAAAGTGCAGATGGAGTATGGGGAGATGGTTCCACATGACAATGCTGCAAACCAAAAGAAGGAAGAAGATAGAGTTACTACTAGGAAAACAACACCATACAAATGAAGATAGAGTTAGCGTGGAATGGAATTGCAGAATCACAGATCTCAAATTGGAATGGAAGCATAAGGCTCAAGTCCTGAACTAAGCGTAGAAAACATACTCTATTCCCATTACAGAATTACAATAAAAGGGTGACTGCTATCCCACAAAATAAAGTCTCCTCTGCTAATGTGGCATAAGATCATTAATTGATTATTTGAAGCTATAACCATAGAATGGGTTGGTTTAGAAGTTAAAGATCCACCTTAAAGATCCTCTTGTTCCAACCCCTCTGCCATGGGCAGGGACACCTTCAACAAGACCAGGCTGCTCAGAACTCCATTCAACCTGGCCTTGAACACTTCCAGGCATTGGGCATCCACAGCTTCTCTGGGCAACCTGTTCCAGTGACTTACCAACCTCACAGGGAAGAATTTTTTTCCTAGTATCTAATCTAAACCTATTCTCTGTCATTTTGAAGCCATTCCTCCTTTTCCTGTCATGACATGTTCTTGTAAATAGTCTCTCTATCTTTCTTGTAGACTCCCTTAAGATACTAGAATAATGGAATAATGCAGTGGGACAAGATCTGGTATCAGCCAGGAGATGGGCAAATCACCAGTGAGGCTGTCCCCAAAAATGGTGCTTTAAACAACAGGAGCTGGTGCAATAGTGTGGAGCCCCAAACCCACAGAGACCAATCCTCTGTGGCAATGGAGGAGAGATTACTAAAATAAAGCAAATTCAGGTAACAGAACACATATGTAAACGAGGTTACAAGAAATCAACATCAAAGTACAAACAGAAAAAAGGGACACCAGTGCCACTTCCAAAAGGAGCACAAAGACCCCTGGGCTGGCACCAGCAAAGCACAACAGAATCTAGAGCAGTATCACCACATAAATGCAGACAAATTCTGCCTCCTTGATGCCACTGGCTCTCCCAGAAACAACTGACACTGAGCTCTCACAGTATTTTGGGTTATAGAGGCAGCTTGGGTGCCCGTGATTCAAGTTGTAGCTAATCAATTACCCAATTAATAGGTTTTAATAGACATATCCTTACAGAGCCATCTGGACCTGACGGGAATAAGGAGAGAAACATACATTATGATACTGGTAATGGAAATAAATCAATCAGTTTAAAAAAAATCATAATCACATTTTTTGTACTTACCCCACCTCTCTCCCTCCCCCCAAAAAAAAATCTAACTCAAACCCAACTTACGTTCCCAAAAGCTCCTCATGCTTTTTGTTATCCTTTCTCCAGACCTCTATGTTCAACATATCCTTCCTGTCAGAGAAGTAGTGAAAATCAAACTGTTCCCTCCACTGAGGATTTGCACTCTTACACAGTGTCTAGAAAACATGCAGTTACAATATTTACTTTTCTTAAACAGTACTTATTTCCACAGTAAAGCATATATCAATTCTAACACAAGAACAAGGCTGGATGTTAGAGCATCCAGTACTAAGCCCATTCCAACCAAAGCTCCCCTTCCATCATGTATAGTCTCATCTTCCTAAATACTCTCTTTTTTGTCTCTCAATAATAAATATGCAATTGTGATGTGAACGAATGGCTGGAGAAATTCTGAAATGCAAGGTGGACCCACCAGCTCCACTTCCAGTGGATTGTGGCCATCATTCAACATCACACATTGGAAGAAATCAAGAATAACCTTTTGAGGACAATCACCTGGAAACAGATTTGAATGAATCAAGAAACCCAAATGAGTATTTTTTACCTTTCTGTGCAAAGAAGGAGCAGCCTTGAAATTATTAACATTTATTTAATTTGATACGTGTAAATTGTGCCTCTGAGTTCAATGGGACTGCTCACGTGTCCAAGTTACTCTGAGTCTTCACTAGATGGGACTTAAATTGTTTGCAGTTCATATCATGCTACAGTGCCAACCATCAATATCAGAATGGCCACTGGGAGAACAGGAGATAGGATTAGCTGGACCATGTCTGAGATTTCTCCCACCTTGTCTGCTTTTCTGCACCATGAGAGATAATATTTTTCAAGTTGAATAAACTCCAGGAAAGAACATGAAGCATTGCCAATATGACATCTTAGGATGTAAAAGCAGTGGTCCCCAACTTTTGCTGGACCCCAGACAGAAATACTAAGCAATTAACTCACTGCAGGCAACATTGTGCTTGACTCCCCATTTTAAACTTCGTAATTTTCTGTGACTGCAAACAGCACAGCCTTGCAGATTCACGACACAGGCTATGGACCATTAAAGAGAAACATAAAAAGGAATCTTAGGAGGAAGAACATATATTTATTTTAAAATAACTAACCCATTTGTTATTTTTCAAAACTACTTTTCTAATTAAAAACATTGTATCATGACCTTGGTTTGACATCCAATGTGGGGGGCAAAGTGCAGGTTTCAGATGCGCCTACATCTGAACATTATGTTCTGTGAACTTGCTCTGTACATTTTGTACAGGAGGTTTGTTTGCTCCTCCTCTGCACTTCCAGTTCATGACATGCAGAGCCCTTGTTTTCTCAACAGAGTATTATTTTAATTATAGCCTCTCTCCTTATTAGACATTGGAGGGGAAATGTATATCTTTCAGAACCCCATTCATTTCTTGGAGTCCCATGAAACACTACTGCATACAAGTTAACACAGACTCGAATAATAAAAGTTAAAAATCAAAGGCATGAAATATTCTGGAATATTTGAGGTGAGTGGGTTCGGCTATATGCAACATATTTTTCAAGAAAGGTGCTTTAAAAAGAAATAATAATTCCCCTGCACTGGGAAGCATTTCAGGTCTGCTTTTCCAGCAGACCTAACATTGCAAATCCAACTTCTGTATTGGCAGAGAACAAAACACATGTGTGGAGCATATAGCTTTATTTCATTTCATATTAATGTCAAACATCCATCAGTATGATGAGTATGTTAAATGCACAAAACAGATACATACAATATTCCTAACTTCCTCTTTCTCCATCAGCATGTAAAGCCTATTAGCAAAATGTTAATGTTCCTGATCTGGTCTCCTGGTTTTGATCTCACTTATATAAAAGAGTCTCAAGAATAGTTCCATCTGAGGTAGCAACACCAGGAGAAGAAACACCAAGTACCTTATTGCTTCAGCAAATTTAAGGAAATCCTTAATACTTACCTTGCTCTTGTATCTTTGATCTCCCAGTTTGAGGAGAATGAAAATCTCTGCGAAGCCCCCTCCGGGCATGTTCTTCCCCTCCAAGAGTGTGATGGTGACCAGACCATTCCACAACTGGTTCTTGCGCAGAGACTCAGACAGTTTCATGCTCCGCATGAAACTCGACTGAAAAAGCAAATCAGCAACACGAAATGTTTATAGACCCAGACCACATTTTTATGCTCAACTTGATTGTGATATGAAAGCACCAGGAGAGAGAGGTACCATGATCCCCTAGGAGTAAGCAGACAATGGAGAGCAGTAGGATATTATGGATTTTCTGCCTGACTGTACTACAACTGGCCCCATGAAGAGATGATGCCCAGGATCACAGCAAAATCAGCAGGGTTGGCTTAAACCACCAGAAAAGTGGACTTCAGCTAACCTGGCTGAGCTCTGGCAGGAGCAGACCTCAAGCGTTGAGAGCAGTCTGTTACCTTGGCTCAGGGAAAGACACGGGAGAGTGACGGGGAGATGGAATAGGGGAGAAACTAAACTCTTAAAATGTCTCCAGTTACACCCATAAAATGTGGGTCTGTCCTTTCCGGGGAGACAGCCCATGATCATAAAGCCTACGTCCAGGTGAAAGGCTGAACACGCATCTTCCACCTCCTCCATCACTCAACCACCCGTCGTCTGCGTTAGCTCTTTGCCTGCTGCCTTTGCAGTTCCTGCTTCCAGAAACTGAGCCCACGAATCAAAAATACTGATGCCTGCTGAAAAAACACTGACACCACCAAGCTCTTTATCTGGAGTTATGGTTACTTGGTAGCCACATTTGTTACCTCTGCAGCCTCATCCTACATAGCACGGCTGCGCTAACAGTTTGCTAACTGGCAATATTTTATTGGACAGAGGATGATTAAATAGGCCTTTATTTGGAGGGAGTGAGCTGGAAACATTAAAACTCAAGGCTATACTTTTCTTCTTGCAGTAAAAATCCTGCCATATTTTATTCTCGTGGAGCAACTTTTAACTCGCCACACTTTGGAGCTTCAATCATGTCATATACAGGTGGGAGCAAGACGGAGGAGAAGATTTCACAAGTCACTTTAAAACAGGACGTGTTAGCTTTAAAAGCAAGTAAGAAATGTTGTTGCTAAATAAAACGACTGCAAAAGCACCTGATGTCTGAAGATTACTTTTTATGGATCAATTACCCAGCAACAAAATTCTTAAATCATAGGTGGTGAACTCACAAATTTTTTACTTGCTTTTTACTGGTTAAAATACCTAACTCTGAATCCCACAAGCATATTAATATACTTCTATTTAAACACCCCATTTGGCTTTCCTGGCGCAATAGTTAAAAATTCCTACCTTTAAAAAGAAAACGAGATTTTGATTCATAAATCCAGCTGCAATGTAATTTCTTTTCTTTTTTTTTTTTCTTTTAAAGTTCGTCTTTTAGGCCAAAAAGCTAAAGCATGACTGTTCCCATGGACATACTTCAAAGTCCCAGCAGATATATTCCTCCCTAAACACTGCAACTATTTCAAAATCCTTTTTATAAAAAAGGGAGTAATGTCCACAAGGGATCAAAGGGCATTCTACAGTCTGGCAATCGCCTTAGAAAAATGGCAGTGCTTCCATGAAATATGCCCTAAAATAATTTTGCAGCTTGGTATGTCCTAATTTCGAATTGGATGTTTATCTTGGAAAGGCTTCTATCTAACTTGTCCATAAAACAGCTCCACTTAGCTCTATGAGCCCTGTGAAAATGGAATCCAAAGCTGGCTATTAAGGGGGCCTGGAGATTGCTTCCATATGGCATAACAGCATGGGAGTGGAGGGCTAAGGCCTACAGCAGGCGCTGCTTGGCTTGAGCTCCCCATCTATCCATGGACACTCATTGCATTACACCATAACATCTGGATTATTGCTTGTAATGTCCCTGGGAAATATCCACTTCCCATCAAAGCCTTTATCTATCTCGCTTGTACTTTGAACATTTTAGTATTTAACATAGTCATGTTTGATGTGATGTACTTGCTGCTTTAGGAGCAAGGATTTTCCCTCCCCCCTGCTCTTCCTCAGAGGAAGAAGAGGTATTTGATGTTAGTTGACAAAAAAAAAAACAAAAAAAACCAAAAAACAGGCGAAGTTTATTATCCACATTACAATTTCTTTTAAAAACAAAGCATCCAGCTCTCTTCAAAGCTTGCACATTGAACACGAAAGAGAGTTGTTATCACTCAGTTTTCACAACAAACTTGGATTCTTTCCTTTTTTTTTTATCCAGACCAGTATTTTAGGGAGTCATTCAGCACTGGGGACCTTCCTTCCCAGTACTGCAGCACACAACTCCCTCTTGCAGCCACTGACTTGACAGTTCAAAGGACTGTTGGGAGGTACCCAAACCAGCCTGGATTCCACATGATCCCAGGAAAACTCAGCACCTGCACTCAGAATTACTGCAACACATTGCAATGCATCAACCTTGACCTTCCAGAACAGGTGGCCCCAAGCAAATGGCCTTGTGCACCCCCTTGTGCAGCTGCAAAAGCACTCTGTGCTCATCTCAGAAGAGGGTCTCCTGCTAACAGGACCTGGATGAGATCTAGCATCACTTGAGAGCATCCCACTGGATAGTGAAGCCAAGATGTTTGCAACTGGTTTAGGGCACAGAGCTGACCTGCAGCACTTCAACATAGTCTCAGTGACTGCAGTCTGCTTCCTACCTCCCCCAGTCCAGCTCTGCCATCAGCACGAGCCTCTCTCCAAACAGAGCAGCACATACCCCAGGAAGGCTGCTTGCCTCACACCCCTGCAAGACATCCCATCACATTAGGAATGCTTTGGATTTCCTGGACATGCCAAGGTCGCTCCCACAGCATCTGCTCAGCAGGTCTGGCACATTTCCTGTGCCTCGCAGCATCTATGTGCACACCAAAGAGCTGCTCTGTGCATGCTCTCTAGCCACCTCTCCAGCCTCCCCAGGTATTTGGCAGACTGTTCCTCTGACCACCCTGATGGAAATCCCAGTGAAACAGGCGGTGTCTCAGATTCCACTCAGTTTCTGGAAGGAAGCATGTCTGGGGAAACCCAGATGTGTGGTAGATCCACAGACCTGGACCATCAATGAGTCAACTTTAGTGCTGCCTGGGGAAGTCTGCACTATGGAAAATGCCTCCCAGGTGACAAGAAAATGATATTGTATTATTTATTTTAGAAGTCTTACCTCCTCTCTGATACCCCACACCTACTCATTTCAAACTGATTTATACAGAGCTAATTGATTCAACTTCACAGCCTCCCTCTGAGTTGGCAAAACTATTACACAGCAGAGCACAGAGAAGTGTAGCTATTAGTCCAACAAAGTTACTCAGTAGCAAAACAAGCACAGAAAAAAACACTCCAAATGCTCTCCTTCCCTCCAGCCACGTAACCTGCCTTCACAGTGAGACCAGAAAAGTCAAAGCCCCTGTCAATACTGGGCAGAAAATGAGGACATAACTGCTTCAACAGTGCCAATTTCGAAGTGTTTTATCTATACAGCTCTTCCCTTTCCCGGGTACCTCCCAGGCTACGGACGCCTCTGCACTTGGGTACTTTGGCTCCTCCTGCTGTTGAACCCAAGCCCTTTCCAGCTGTGCTTCCAGACTGAATGCCAGGTCCATCAGGCCTCTCCTGCTCTATTTTCCTGTAAGCTCTCTGCACTCAGCCTGCTCATACTGTGGCTGCATCCCAGACCAAAGCAAAGGTGCCTTGCAGAGGTACAGAAAAGTTGGCTGAAGCTAGGATCAGGCTATAGAGCTGAAAATTAGGAAACACATGCTTTAGGATGGGAGTTGGCACATCTCCCAAGGATAAGACATTGGACACAAGCTTGCTTATTCCTCCCCCTCCTCACTTCTGAAATCAAGGTAGCCTTCAGATCAGAATTTAAGGCTGCCTATACATAGAGCTATGCTTTTGGCTGGGCTCTGTGTGCAAATAACCAATAATATCATAAAGGTCACCTTTATGAGCAGTTCACGGCTGTAAAATGGATAACAACTGGAACTAAGAGCATCCCTCAAGAAAAACCACAGGACGAAAACAATAAGCACAAGAATATCCAGAAAGTTTTACCCTGAAAAACAAACTGGGTGTTTTTAAAATCTAAGAACCTGCGTTTACTGCAGATTTAGGGACTGTGTTCAGGCAAATAATGAGTAATCCCTGAAGCAAAAGCATGGCCTGGTCATAGAGCAGGACCCTGCCACATGAAGACCAGAAGATGGTTCTTCTCCCTACTGCTTAGAAAGAACATTTGTCCAGAAAACATCCCACATCTCTGAACAGAAAAAAATTAAATATCAGTGCTTACAACACTATTTTCAGGAACTTGTCTTGGTTTCAAAATAAATACAGAAGTGTCTCAAACCAACTTTCAATTTTTTATTACTTTCTGGCTCTGGTTCAAAAAAATAAGCTGGACAAGACTGATCAGGTGGACCATATTCTGCCTTCACAGAGCCAAATGCAGGAGATGAACAAGAATGACAGAGCTTTGGAGGGGAAAGAACCGGCTCATTGACCCAGCTTCACAAAATCCTTTAGGAGCTCCAGTCTCCCTGATAACACCATTTGTATATAATCTCCCTCTATAGGCACCCAGTGAATCCCCTCTGGTGCATTAGGGCTGCTTTCAAATCTGTCTCTTTTCCTGACACACACATACATGCCCCAAGTTCAAACTTGTTTTTGAGGCAATAAAGAGATGCAGAAAAATTGTACATTTAAATGACACGGCGAGGTGGCCAAGTGTGAAGTGAGCCCATCTCTCCCATCTTTCATTTAAAAGGATGAGACAGGACAACAGAAAGCCTGCTACAATCCCTGTGAAGAGGTCAAGATCAAAACTGGGCCACGTAATTTACCATTTGAGAAAACAACAACACACAAATAGGAGGACTCTTTGGACCTCTCCTCATTAGGCAGAGAAACCATTTTGCAGAGACAGTCTCCCCTTGGGAAAGAGGAGAGGGCAGCGAGAAAGGCAAGTGAACCAACACGAGATTGCCGCCACGATGCGTGACCCTGTGGCAACTGAGTCCCTCCGCTCCGTGAAGCGCTTGGAGAGCTTCGCTGCCCACAGGGTTTTGTGGGAGAAAGCCAAACACAATGAGGCAGACAAAAATGAAACCTAACAGCCCACAAAGGAAAAAAAAAAAAGAAGAGTGAGGGATTTTCCCCTGCGATCTGATGCTGAGGAGCACTTCGGTCCGGTCAGCCTTTCAGCCAATTTATTCAATCAGCTTAGGCTATCAAGGTGGCAATTCCGTCGCTTTTGTTTCAGGACTGAACTGCTGCAGGTCAATCCACCCCAAGCAAACCTGCTTATTTGCTTCATAGATGTTCAACACTTAAAGGTTATTCAGCTGTACAAATGCTGGAAATAGCATGCAGGGCACTCAGGGTGAGACTCAAGCCACCCGGGACAAACAAGGCTACCGAGCATCAGCATGTTGGGCCCCAGCAGTGAGAGCTACCAACTCCCTCTGTGCCCAAGAAAGGAAAACAGAAAAGAGGGGAAAGTCTGCCAATACACAGATATGAGTGAATATATTAATATTGTCTAACAGTATCCTCTTCCTTTTGCAATGCCAACCTCCATGAGAAAAAGAAGAAAGCTGCACTCTTAGAAACAGCTCCCACGGAGGACAATGCTGCTCTCAGCTCCCATGAAAAATGAGGGATCTGGATGTGCTGTCCATGTCTCGGGAGTCCGCCCAAACATGCAATGATTCCTTTCTAGCAGCATTGAAAAATTATATACTGTGTAATCAACAGATAGCTAAATCATCCAGTTCAACAGCTCTTGCTCCAAAATGAACTAAAAGACAATATTCAGTTGCCAAAATCCTTTCTGAATACTAACTGTAACGACCATGAGGCTATCAGAGCTGGACTGAACATCTTGTAGTGCCACTGTTTTTCTTGTTGTCTGAAATGTAACTTTTTTTTAAGACAGCAAGGGAGCTCAGAGAACACACGTGAGGAGTGTACAATATGCACAACAGGCCACGTGAATCCCTTCACTAGTCTGACATGGAGCTGCAACAGGTATCAATGCCATCAACATTTGGGGTGAATTTGGAAAGTCAGCAAGAATCCTGTGATTAATGTGAAAAGACTCATTTAGGACACTGATGTGCCAAATCTGCACTAAGATAACATAAAATGGTCAAATTAGAGGATAATCAGATTTCTTTCATGTAGGCAATACAGATTAAAAAACAGCTGTGAAAGTTATATTCATTTTGTCCATCCTTAAAATAAGTCATTTTCCTTGTATTTATAGAAGAGGAAAAGCTAAATATTACAATAGAGTTCAGCTGTAGTTCAGCACAAGATAAAATCCCAGGAAAACTATTTCAAATAGAAAACTTTCATTTACCTAAACCTGGTGAGATGAAATTTAGATCTGTCTCAGCACAGCTGCTCAAATGGAGAGTATATGGTGTTTTTCTCCTGCAACACCCAACCAGAGTCAGCTCGGGAGCCAAAAAAGAGACGAGTTCATGTATCCATTACAGAGCTTTCTCCATTTCCCCTTCCCCCCTTATTCCTGTATCTTTATCTCGTCCAGCAACATTGTTTTCTACCCCATCATACTCTCTGGCTATTCTTCCGTAACCTCTTGTGCCTTCCCTAGACACCTATATTCCCCATGCACACAATTTTTCTTCCTAGCCTTTATGTTCTGCCACAAACTGCTAGTACTGCTTCCACAGACCAGAGTTTCCTAACTAAAGATGGTTATTGATGTACAGTACTAGTGTTTTAGTGCAGTAGCAGAATCAATAAACTAGGAAATACTGCTTTGTCAGATTTTTCCAGCGCATGCTGGGAAATATTTTTTACTGCCTTTGGATGGTCACAGAGGTTTTCTTTAGAGATCACACTGGAGCATGAACTGTGTCTTCCCTAGGAAGAGCTGAAGCTCTCCTACCCTCTAGTGACCGGAACAGAACAGAGCACAAGGTTGAAGCCTTTTTTCCGGTTTAAACAATACTTTCTTTTCTCCTAAATCAGTACAACACTTCAGCATTTCTTAATTTATTTTAAAAGGTGTTAAGGCACAAGCCAGAGGCTTGAGAGCTGAAGGCTGAGAGCTAAAGCTCAAAAGCATGTATGTAAAATAATTACTCAAAATGCAATAGATACTGCATAAAGCAAACAAAAAAACTTCCAGTGACAGCAACCAGGACAAAATTTCAGCTATTCTGGAGAAGACAGACCAGAGTTTAAAAACCTAACTGCCTTTCCCAGAACCCAAACCCAACCAGAGTCCAGAGACAGCTGTGTGAGAAACAGAGGATCAAGCAACACAGACTGAGGGCACAGTAATTTCCAGAGTTTTAGTTAAAAACTAAAGTGTTGAGCTCTTCTATTATTCCATCACTTTCTATTATGTGGCATTCAGGGCTGCCTGGCAGCTCTCTGCTCCAAGCACTGCCATATCCCTGGAATCAGTGCTCTAAGTACTTTGCACTTCTACTGACAAATACATACTTGCTGGCACAATACCTGAGATGGTTGGCCTCGTTACACAGCACATCAGACTTGCAATGAATAAAACGAGAGGAGGTTAATTATTCAATTTATTTAGGCACAAACTGATAGTTATACAGGAAAAATATCAAGATGCATGTGTTGTCTTAAGAGCCAAATTCTGCTTGTGAGAACGTGAGACTGTATAGCTCTCAAGCTGGGTACTGGGGCCTGCAGTTTCTCTATGATTGTTATTTACTCAATAGCAAATTAGAGCTTTACAGAACAAATGAAAACCCACAGCCTGTTTCCTGAACAAGCTAAAATCTAATGCAAAAATCATAGAGCAATATAAAAGTAATGGAAGCCTGCAGAGATACTACAGGAGACCAAGGGAAGCAAGTTATATAGATATGTGGCAATATACAAATCTTGGAAATCTTATTACAATGCTGATAATGAAAACTCCCTGCTCATTCTCTATCCCCAAACCAAAAGGAAATTCAAAACCCACAGAAGTGACCCAAAGAAACACTGCCTCAGAAAATTTCTCCCGTGGCAAGAAGCAGCCCAAATGATTAGAATGGGATCCAGGAGACTCACATCCAACTTCCCACACCAACCACTGGCCACAACTCAAATCCTCCACTGCTCCTTTTTTTTTTTTTGGTTGAATTTACACCCATTTCCCTAGTACAGACAGGTTTTTTCTACAGCTCTTTTCTCAATGGGGTCCTGCTCTCACTTGCCACTACAAACTACCACAGCACTTAAAATCAGAAAACAGCTGCAGTGTCCCATCACAATGAAAAGAAAATCAAAAAAGTGAAGGGTATCACAGCCACCACGTAAGACAGGTTGCATCTATACTTCAGAGTTTTCTTTTGTTTACCCTTTCTGTTCCAGAGGAGGGCACAGATTTTTGTCAGGGGACTTACTTTTTTAAGTTAAAAAAATATGGATTACCTTGGGCGAAGTTCGTTTCTTCCGACTTGACCATCTCTGTTCATGAGTCCCCATCATTGCACCAAAGAGAACCCAAGGAAAGGAAACAGAGAAGGAGTAAAATGGGGAAAGCGTTACAGCAAAATGCTTCAAACAGCAACTTGTCAAATGTGTTAAAAAATATTATTACTAAGTAGGGGGCTGGATCTACAACTGCATCCATCTACCTTCCCTCCCCAACAGAACAAAGCAATCAACAAACTCAAAATACCTGCATTGCACCAAAAAAAAGAGGAAATTAAAAAAAAAGGTTATTGAGAATAAGAAGTGAAGGGACCCAGAGCCATTAGGAAGAAACATGGCTTATACTTTTGGTGCCATCTGGTTCTACAGTAAGCTAATTTAAAAAGGGGGGAAAAATCATCTTGCTGTTAAGTGCTAATGTGGACAGAGCTATTTCACTATTCTGATTCCATTGGAAATGGCTGAGCAATCTGCATTTGAAATATGAGGGCTTAAAACACCATCTTTAAAAAAAAAATTACAGTGTGCACCAGCTCGTCTATCATCTGCACTCTGAATGTTAACTAAGCACCCAAGAGTACCAAAAGCTGCTATTTAAACCAAAGTATTTTCTGTCTCACTGGCTAGGTCCACTTCAGCCCAGGCCTTCCTAAAAATCCCAAAAGAATTCCTAAAGTTATTTTGGCTAAACTGTGGGGTTTTTTTGCTAAATCAACTTTATGTCTTTGCTTCACCCCTCCCTGCAATCCAGCAACACCTGCCAATAACACTCTCCTGTACAAGTTAAAGGGGAATTCACATCCCAGATCAAAGTTATGTCATAACACAGGTATGTAAATACAACAGTGGTTTCAATATTGCCATTAAGCTTTTAAATAATCACATAGTGAGGTAAAAATAATTCTACAATTATCTTATTCTGAATTGAGATTTCACAATTCTCAGAAAGGCAACTATCTGAAAAATAAATAATGAGCAGCAGACATCCCACATCAGCTTTTTCTCATTTTGCTTTCCAACCACTTGAAACATTTACATTTCTATAAATAATCCCATTCAGGCTGGAATGCTATACCTATATTCAATAGTAAACAGCAACTTTCATACTAGACTATGCAGCAAACTTGTAGGAATATTTTCTCTTTACACATGCATTGCACATATTTAAAATCAGGTCTGTTTTTTGAGACAGTCCAAATAAATGCCTGATCTTGGCTTTTCCCCACTCCTTGCTGGCCAGGAGCAGTATTAGTTCACCAACATTTGTATGTTTCTCACTCTGTAACACCCTAGTAGAAATCTTGAAAGATAAAACAAAAGCAAAAAACCCACGTGCAGGACCTGAAATTAAAAAACGATCAGCTTCAGTAGCTTCTTCTGAGTTTCTAACATCACTAATCACCATATTTCTGCAAAGTTCAATTAAACTCGGTGAAGAAACTGTCAGTGGGAAAATCAGGGATCTTACAAGCGATCTCTTCCTCTCATCCAGTGCAGTCTTCTGCAAGGCTGGGGCAGTTTAGGTCTTAATATCAAAGCTCAGCCTTTAGATTTCATGTGGATAGATTTTTCCTTTGTTGTTAAAAATGAAAAAAAAGAAAATATAATAACTTTTCTTCCACCTGTCCATTGCAGTGGTGGATACATGCCCTGTACACAGAGAGCACTGCCACAGTGCACATCACAGCTACAAGACAGAAGAATACAGATGTCTACACAACTTTAACCCAGCTAAATATGGGGCTTTTTTTAAAGTTATGATCTATCTCGATTTCAATATTGAGTCTCAGAGGATGAAAATAAAGGTGGCATTTCCCACTAAATCAGATTATGCCAGCTCTTCTTTTCTCCCCCCTACACCTTCCAGCTATAAATTTGATTTCCTAAGCCACTTACATTTCTCTTGAAGTCTCCTTGCTTGACTGCTAGGCTCAAGTTTAATACAATCACTCCCATGTCATCTTCTAAACTGTTGGGATCTTCCAGTTTTAAAACCCGTTCTGTAGTTCTACAAGCAAAAAAGAGAAAAAAAAACAAAAGACATGCATTTATTGACTCCAGTTAACTCGAGTTGATTATTAAAGGTCAGGCTGAGCTGTGCAAATTTCAACTTCTTGTCTGAAATTCCCCATATTGAGTTTAAATGTTAAAATGGGAAATATGGAGGGTTCCTTTTTAGTTCTGACAAAATACACCCCTCTTGCAATAATGCAGCCCAGTGTTTCTATAGCACTACTTACTACTCATAACTCCATATGCAGATACATGCCAAATAAAGTTCCTACTACCTTCCACTTCACAGGGAAGAAAAGTGACAGGGAAACTCATCCAAGTGAATTTTCTAATATTATGGCTGTGATGGGACTTCAGAGATATTTATTCGGATTGTGTGTAATCTCCTTCCATGACTCTGTTCCTTTGCTGAAAATGGGAACGCTAGTATTTACCTGGTGGCACTATCTCCTGGATAAATTCATTAACTTTTCTAGAAATTTGGATATAACAGCCATGGGAGCCACAATAAACCTGCACAGGGAGAACTCAATTTCTCCAAAAGAGTCAGCGCACAGCAAGGGAGTATAAAAAAAAAAAAAAAAAAAAGAACTAAAACTTGAATTCCTGGCTTCCAGCTCCACATTGAGACCAAGCAGCAGCAGCAGACAAAAGGCACAGGGCTTGCCTCAGCACTAAATCAGGGCCAGATGCAGCTGCTGCAGGGATGGATGGTGTGGGGGGAGCTGGAAACGGGCGCTGGCAGCAGCCGGGCAAACCGCTCCCCAGCCCAGTGGTGTGCACAGGAAGGCACCCATGTTATGTGGGGCTAAGAAGGGATCTCAACCTTCTTCCCCCCTTTCTTCTTCCACCTCCATAAATTATTCCTGTGTAGCTCTCCCTAAACAATGGCCAAATACAGAAACTCTTAATCCTAGAACTGGGCTCCCTCCAGGTTGGATTTGAGTCGGGTGCATAACGCTGGATAAAAACGTGTGCACAGGCTTTATCTCAAGCAATTTCTTTTAAAATGTACTCCTCACTCTTCTCTCAAAAAAAGTTGTCAAGAATTAACAAATTCCAGAGCAGAAGCATTTAATTCTTTCCCTCTGTTTCTGAATTAAGCTGCATTAATAATCTTTAATTAAATAAACACATTACCTATTGAGTTCAAGTTCAGTGAGCACTACAAATGCCGAACCCATGAAGTCTGAAGAGGTTAAATCTCGATCGTACACCTGGTAGCAAAATAAGACAAATATTTCCAGTTTTCACATCATAAGCCACTTTTATCCCAGGCAATGAAAGAACAGATATTTTAAGTCCTTTCAGTTCAATTTTGTATTCGAAAGATCAAAGCTCAGATATAATTCAGGGATCATTTTCCATCTCCCTGCTTTAATTTGTATTTTTAACTAAATATTTACCTAGCATTTCGAAAGTATCTTCTTAATATTATGTAAACAGAGACATGTGTGCTGTTATGGATTGTGCCTGTTCCTTTATGCTCCACGCGACAGCATAATGAAATGCTGCACAAAAATCAGGTACTTTTGGTTACAGATGTTTTAGCAATTAGTGCTCACAACTGGTAGCTTGAGGTTCTGGTAACTATAACGTTACTCATAATGAGAAAAGGCTTTGCTACTTGTCACGGCTGCATCCCAGGTAATAATTCTGTGCAGCTCAGCCAAATTACACTCTTAAACGTGCTTCTGTAACCGCTCTCAGTTTCCCTGAGTTTGCACAAGCATGGGAAAAAAGAGCAGAATTTAGCTCCACAGCTTTAAACAGACCCAGTCAAGGAGTTTTATTTCAACTTGGGTTTTTGCAGGCGGAAAGCAAAACATGCGAGTAAAATCTGGAAAAGACATATGTGCATTTTAATTTGAAATTGCTGAAACTCTTAAACCGGATTGTGTTTTATGTTACGCTGCTGCAGCGAATAAAAATCAATATGCTTCTAAAGCTGAAAAGAATTGCTTAAAAAAATATTGACCCGTCTTTCAAAAGTCTAACCCCAAAACTTACCTTGATCCAGAGTTTTTGATCGAGGGTCTGTACAGGCAGCACAACAGTTTCATCCCAAACTGGGTTGAGGTTTTTGTAGACTACCTTACTTTTGTAGAGAGTTTTCCCATTCAGTTTAAACTTCACATAAGGGTCACTTGTACCTGCAATGATTTAAAAAATAGATCAGTATGCCCCCATGTAAACTCTCAACTATTTTTTTCATTAAATAATAAATAATACTAAATGATAATTATTTATTTTATATATACATGCATATACTTAATTACCTATATAAGAATTGCTTGTTCATACAGGAAATCTATAGAAAGAACCAGAAAGTTGTTTGAAAGCAGGCAACAAAAATTCTTCATAGTTTGCTTGATCTCTCCTGGTTTATTATTAAGGAACATTCTTTATTTTTTAGCAACTTAG